CCTTCGGTATGCGTGGCGCTGCTCTAGAACCTGCCGCAGAGTGAATATGTGGTCTATACAGCTCATTCCTGGGTGAAAACATACTCGCTCTTCCTAAATCCGGGATTTCCGTTCCATAATGAGAAAGAACGAGAATTGAGGTCAGTAATCACGCCAAAACTGGCGTCATACCAATACCCCTGTGGTTGGCACATTCCGTGCGACTACCCTACTTGTTTATAGCCACTATGATGGATTTCCTCCAGTTAGCTAGCTCTTCCAGGCCGGTGCTTTGCAGAAAACCTCAGAACCACCCTTAAATAGTGCGCCTACGAGGATGATTAAGCGATGTGATCGCGTTCCGGACCTTAGCCTACGATGGAGCTTTTAAACGAGCCGTCCATGACTTAGCATGTATCACTTGCGTTGGAAGAGGTCCGGAAATAGAGGGCCAACTGTACTGTTCCCGAAGTCGCTCCGCTAAATCAGCCAGCCGGAACTCTTTATTGTGAATGAGGGCACTTGCGCTGTCTCTGAGTGCTTTAATGACGCTTGGTTTCCTGGGACCAGTAGTGTGGATCATCTGAAAGAGCTTGCGATAATTGCCTACTGCTCCCGCCTCCCCCATTTCTTGGGCGCTACTGGTCCAGCAGGCTTCCTTGTCAGCTCGAAGGCTCCGTTAAAGCGAAGCCTAATAGTCCGTCTGGTTACATTGTGCTGACAGCTAGCCGGCAGTTTTCTTCCGAAGTCCATCAGGTTTATCGGTTTGGATATTCAGTCGTTGGTGTCGTGTAGCCCTCCGGGAAGCAAGAAGACTGGGTCGCGATCACGAAGTCATTTATTAAGATTACGCTCGAATATTTATAGAGTATATACGCTATGTACAACAGTCCGTCTCAATGGCTCATCCCTGTTATTTGCATTGTGTCGCTGGCTTCCTTTCCATTGGTCTGTGCTTGCTCGCGACGTTCAATCTGTCTAGGTCACTTTGGCTTTCTTAGTCGATGTACGATTGGCGGGATTGGGCCCGCGAGCTTCTTCGCTCGGTCCAACGCCACAAGCCTTGGCTCAAGCGTGCACGAGTATGCGCTCCTTCGTCTGCTGGCGCCTGAGTGGTCACTTGCACGTTCAGTGGATAGTTGCATGGTAGTCGCGATTACGGGCTAAATATTTCCTGATTGGCCGACCAATCTGCTTCCGGCAACATGCTCACTCCTTATCGGTCTGGCCTGTGACATTCGAACGGCATTATAGCATTTCCAATCACCAGCATTTCCAGCCCCCATCACAGCTGGTGTGGTGACGATTGATAGTGCAGCATCAGATGCTTCCTAATTTTGCATAGTGGTGAAGTTCCTGTTTCACTGGGCGAGTTCAATACGCACGAGATCCTGCTAAGTTTGACTGATCGAGGAATAGGATAACATTTCAGTGGGAGGGAGACGCTTGGTATGCTTCCCGGTGAATTCATGCAAAAACGCCTTAGTACCAAAGCATGGTCAGATTCGACGCACGTATTCTAGAACGAGGGATATTTCGAGATGGAGCCGCGCTTTCTGTAACTTATGGCAACGTGATCTAGTCGGGTCAGCTATAGGGGACCCCAAGTGGCACTTCGGCGATCACTGCCTAAAAGTGGCGCTACTAAAAAACAGCCACTGCTTCACATACCGTTTTCCATTCGGTCGGAGCTAAGTCTATACTTACCACTTAGATGAGCTTCCGAGGAGTCCAGACCTACGCACAACAACTATATGTGAAATTGTAACGAAGCAACATATTCACTTCGTGGCAGCATCAGAACTGCAGTCAGTGGGGGCATAAGCGGAAACCACTAACAGTGTCTAGTATTACTTCGTGAATCAACCATAGTTGATGTCGTCAAACAGGCTGCACAGACTAACGAGAATCCAATCAACAAACGATGAGTCAGACTTGGACCCTGGAATGTTGCCCACTCCGGCTTGACCATTGATCGCCGTATCAGCGTCTCCGGATGTGTGCAACCAGTAGCGGGAAAACATGCCAAGTGAAGTTAGTTCAACAACCCCGTGAGGGTCATTGATCAGTTTCGGACACGCAACACACGTCAATACCAAAGGTGTCCAAAGTGCATGCGAGTGCACCCTATTGTCCTACTTGTTCGAGAGTGCGAACGTTGAACGTTGCCAATGAAACGATGCAGCGTGGCCTTATAAGGGGCTGTTGTCGATAGATGTTCAGTGGGCGGTGCGGGAAGAATACTGCAGATGGTATAACTTCAGTGGCATCGCGGCTGCTCTCAAGTAAGCTAGGAATTATAGAAAGGTTACGAGGGGGAGTAAAAAATCGCGCGGAAAAGAAAGAAGAGACACATCAGCAGTAGCAAAATTTCACTTAGTCAGCATGCTGTGCGCAGCATACAGGGCGAAAGTTGATGAGCTGCGCGATGGCTGATACAGTACCTGGATGAAGTTTGATGGAACAGTCATGGTATGGTCAAAAAGCGACATTCTTGTCTCATGAGGATATAAAACGTCGCACTCATGTGATATACTTGTGTGAACCAAAGTGGGCGCAGAACAGGAAATATAAAATGCATCAACTGTAGCGAAAAAGCACGATGTACGTGACACCAGTCTCTGTGTGGGAACGAAACTTACGGACGAAAAACAATCCAACTTACCTGGATAAATACTTGAAAAAACTTCAATGTCGAATGAAGAAGTGCAATCTTGACCTCCCGATGCACCTTGAGGTGTGGTAAACCGTTAAAAGCTGACAAGATAAAATGGAGCATGGCACCACACCATTGATGCGTTGGGTATTCTGCAACCGCAGGCAGCTCCGAGGACAACAAAGTTGGTGGGTACTCACACAAAATGTCAAAAAGTGTGCACGACAGTAGACAGTGCCCAGTTGCCCACTCATCGCAGCGCGGTTCTATCGTGGATCCGAGGAGGACAGGTTGTAACCGGGATATGAGGTGCACAGATTGCTGCACAACAGTGAGAGCGCATTGGAAGCTCGCTTTATTTTCATGTGCTACCTCGTAGGAAACTTGATCGTGGATTGAACGCAAGATAAATAACATCGCCTCCAGTCCCTTGAGAGGGGGTCAAAAAAACAAAAGATAAATATCACACGTCTTGTGAGAGCGCACAGTGAATAGTTACGTCATTTCTACTGCCCTAGGTAGAATTACGGGAGGGTCTATTATTCATGACTCTGTCCTTCTGAAAACCGTCTTCGTGTAGAAAATATATCAGTTGGAGCTAATCATCAATGGCCAACATTATTCCGATTGGCATAGCCTGATGAAACAGTGGCGTCCCTCTTATGGCAAACAAAAGTGGGGTCGCGAAGAATAAATGAAAAACCCATAGTATGGTCCCTGATTGTCGCCTAGTTGCTAGGATTCAAACGCTAACAATTCACGAGCTAAACCGTGGAAAAACCAACTCAATTAGTTATCGTTTGTACGTCTATAGTGAGAATGGCCAACTGCGTGGCAGTGTTTGTGCCCGCATCCCGTAATATGTGGAGTGAAAAGGGTTAACACTGAGAATACTCTTAGAGGACCCGCACTTTCTGACGTTAGTATGTCGTCGCTATCAGGGATGTGATCTCAGCAGGACTACTAACTTGGAATGAAACAGAACCCTGTTATATCAGAGCTAAAAACGTGGCGCGATTGCACACAGTGACTGGGTGTCTGGGAAAATTCAATGTACAAAAAGTGTGGAGGATGAGAATGTTGGAAGACTTTCCGCACAATGACTGACCTTAAAGCAAAGCTACATAGCCCAGTTTGTGGGCCTACGTGGAATGACTGTAGCTTGATGGAACGAACTGAAGGTCAAATCAAGGGCCCAATGATCAGATGTGAAATTCTTAACACATTGGTTTAGAACGATTACAGCGTACAGATAAGCGAAAAACATACTGGTGTTGGTGACGTTCGGCCAGAAATATGACGCAATGAAGTGAGAATTGCGACGAATAAGTACAATGCGTAAAGGCTACATTGACGTTTATGACTGACCTGCCACTGGAACGTAGGTGAATCGAACTCGCAGGAGACAATCACTGTTGAGAGATTTTCATGCAACTCGTTAAACCAATCCATCGAGTACTGATGACTGTATGCCATCATGAAGTTGTCTCCTAATTCTGAGCGTGATTTATGCCACTCCTCACGTTCTTCAGAGGACCATCGAAGAAAATACGCATTCGTGTCGGATGGGTAGTGACACTGCAACATGAAAGGAACACGATCAAAAGTGCAAATTCATCTGAAAAATCATCTAATCGGTACGTCGAAAATACGCTGCACGGCTAACTCGTACGACAGAGGCAGACACAGTCCACTGCGCAATTAGGGCGTTCAAAGGACCAAGAACAAATAAGCAAGGTATCGAGCGCGGATGAAACTCACAAACAAGTAGTAAAGTTAGGTTAGCGTGGTAGTAACATTCCAACGTAAGCATGTGTTTGTTAGCTGACCAGTAACATGTGAGAAGCGAAGAGAAAATAATCCCCAAATTGGTACTATGCTTAATAAGTACCTTTAAAAACGCGGCATTCAAAAAACGTATTTGGATATCTCTCAGGAATTGAAAACCGAATGATTCCGTTTGATGTTCCAAACGGTTTGTCACAACGGCGTCTAACAGGTTGAACCATATGGGCGCGCCATATTCGCTGACCACCTCGTCCCGTGGATAGTGACCACGAACAGATAGTGGGATAAGAAACATCTCCAGAAGGTCGCGTAACGGACAAGCAAGCTCTGAAGAGGAAAGCACTCGTGCGACGAGCTGATCCGCCTGAAAAGGAAAAATGGACAATTCAAAGCCAAATATGGTGACATATGTTGAGATGTGTGAAACAAACGAGACAACGCTGACTGGAGCGTGATTAAATCAGGAGGAACAGACAAGTGGACAGATGAGTTCGAACAGACATGTAGCAGTGCAAAACCCAATACCAGGCTGGCTATCCGAAAAACCTCCTCGTGGTGTCAGCTGGGTAGTTCGGGTTTAACCTGTTTCAGGAAATAGTTCGGCGGCAGTGTTCCAGGAGGTGGTGGGTTTTCGTCCGGCAAGCGTTATCCCCATAAAAAGTCACAAATGTCCACTTAACAACACTGAGACTCGCAACAAATAAAATCATTGCCCCGTGGAAAGCTGGATAATCCTTTCCAACTCACGGACACCGATCTTCTACTCATTCAAGAATGGATCAGCACAACTACAAGCACAAACTACACAGCTACATTCACACAAACAATCAACAACAGCAGTATCTCAGCCATATGAATTGATACTTCGCTGCCATACAACCATGATGACCCATGAAACAAAGAATAATAAGAGAGAGAGAAGGGGAACATAGCAGAAAACCTTAATGCCCTAAGCAAACATTCAGGGTCAAGGCGCCTACACCTTGCGTAGACAAAACACCATCACAAACAGTTGTCGATTGTGTAAAGATAAGGCGGCATCGGCGAGACAACTTCCTTGCGGCTTTCACTGCCCCGCGTCATAATCAACCATTACCCCGCAGATAACCCAGCAGCAAACACACTTTAATAAAGCAATCCCGACTAGGAGAGCAGTAGTCACGCCACTGGTGTCGGTTGCGAGCCATGTCCTGTAAATTCTCGAGCCAAGCACAAGGCGAGTCACGTGCACTCAAGCACGAAAGGCGAGACGGACCGACGGCACCCAGCTTGGTCGTCAGTAACTTCATTTCACGCTGCCAAGTCAACTTCTGTCCACCTCGAGCCTTGCGCCACCCTACACCTGGTAGACTAAACAAGGCCCTCCTAGGTAACCGGTGACCAGGCATATGTAGCACGCGCCCGAGCCAACGCAACTTATTCAGTGCTATCTGGTGTCCTAGGGAGCTAGCATAATTATCACTACCTAGCACTCGCCTACGCACATCATCGTTGCGGACACGCTGGTGCCATCCGACACCAGCAATGCTTCGCAGACAACGATGATCAAAGACTTAAATGCCGAACTGGCCAAGTCTCACTACACTAGAGCAGAACGGACCTCATTGTGGCCTTGTAAACACGGCCTTTCAGTCGGAGGGAAATTCCCTTATGTCGCCAAAGATGCCGCAGGTTCAAGAAGGCAGCTCTGGCCTTTAAAACGCGTGAGCTGACGTCAGTTTCCATGCGTCCATCGTTGCTGATGCCGCTGTCAAGATAAGTGAATTGATCAACTACCTCAACTTCTTCGTTAGCAAGAGCCAAGGGGTCATAAAGTGGCTGGTGGTCCTGCAGCAGCACTGCAACTTGAAAGTGAAAGTGCATACGAAACAATGGAAGCATTCTAGACAGGCTTTTGGTACAATAGCCTTACGCACGAGGCAGTGGGTGATTTGGTGGTTAGCTTGACGGACTTCGCCCAGCGCCTTTGGTTCAATAGCCTGACCCACAAGGCAGTGGGGAGCAGATCCAGCTAGGGAATGTGATTGCAGAGACAGATTGGGATCTGCTTGACGGCCGTCACACGCAGCCTTTGAGGTACTGGAAAGATTCATATATGTTTTACGACCGTAGTAGGATACGCACCTGCGACCATGGCCAGACGCAGAAGGGTTTTGCCGAGTTTGCACCAATATGACCAGGAAATGCTTGGCTTGAGGCGGGAAGTAGCAAACCATTAAACACCCGGAAGTGCCCTCCCACCCACAGAGACAATGCGTGGTGCTCATGCTCTCCGCCAATCGAGCTGTGAGCCTATAACCCGTAGGCCTGTTGTCTCCCATGCCTAGGTTTTACTAGCAGAGGGCCATCAACCACTTCCTAACCTCCGAAGACGATGGACTAAGATATTGGCAGGGCGCACACACCTGACCTGAGAACGACTCGGGTCCGCAGCCAAAGCCTTCGATTAAATGTCCACACGAAAGGCAGTGGGTCTAGCACATCGTCAGTTCACTGACTCATGCGGATTGGTGTCCTGCCTCTTAGCAAGGAGAAGGACGTAACCCAATTCTCACCCAGCGGTCGCCACGAGGCATCCAGGACATGAGCCCATGGCACAACAGTAGCAGCAGTGGGCAGACCATCTGTCAGCATCTAGCCACTACCAGCCTCAGCGCACCATATATATGGTTGGCGCCATCCGTTTCCGGATTTGCCTGTCACTGTGGCCAGACACAGGACGCCTGCGCCTACAGAGGGACCATGGGTGGCTTGCGACACACCACCCACAGCTCCATCCACACACCCCATATCCAGTGTAAACCCGAAGAATAAGACCGGGAGGCATGTGGATGGGAACCACGTTTCATCAACGGAGCCGGCCCACACTCCTTCACAGGCAAACACAAGCACGCTGTATTTGGGGAATCAACCGCACACAAGGCGGTGGTTGGACCGTAGTCCACTCCACACTGAGTGCATGGAACCACTCTTCGAGCCTAGCACGGTCAAAAGGACCGTGCACCTCGTCCCCTCCAGCAACGACCAACTGTCTCCTGGAGCCAGTATAGACGAGGTAGTGGGTAACAGACAGGTAGGCACCTTGACAACAAGCACATCGAGCGCAGCCTCACCCAGGAATGTGAAGGAACAGCCAATCATACGAAAGGAAATGTCGAATAAAATAGATCTAATGCACCGTATGGATATGCCGCTAAATCAGTACATGAAATCAATGAATTATCAAAATAAGCGATGTTAACCAGCTTTAGTTTAAGCGAAACGTGCAATTTAATAGATTATTTAGATACACATTATTATGAGGTAACGAAATAACACTAATACAAGGTAGCAAACCAATCACCTGAAATATGGTTGGCGGAATCCGGTTTCGGATTTGCCTGTCACTGTGGCCAGCCACAAGACGCCTGCGCCTACAGAGGGACCATGGGTGGCTTGCGCTGCACCACCCACAGCTCCATCCACACACCCCATATCCAGTGTAAACCCGAAGGAATAAGACCGGGAGGCATGTGGATGGGAGCCACGTTTCATCAACGGAGCCGGCCCACACTCCTTCACAGGCAAACACAAGCACGCTGTATTTGGGGAATCAACCGCACACAAGGCGGTGGTTGGACCGTAGTCCACTCCACACTGAGTGCATGGAACCGCTCTTTGAGCCTAGCACGGCCACAAGAACCGTGCACCCCGTCCCCTCCAGCAACGACCAACTGTCTCCTGGAGCCAGTATAGACGAGGTAGTGGGTAATAGACAGGTAGGCACCTTGTCAACATACACATCAAGTGCAACCATACCAGGGATATCAAACAACAGCCATTCACTTTAAACGACAAGCTGAAATAAAATAAATCCAATAATGCATACAGATACGGTGGCATAACTCTTCGCTAAATTACCATATGAAGTAAGTTGGTTAGCAACAAATCCGTGATAAGTAAGAAATGTCCACAAGTTAGTTAAAATGCTACAAACGCAACAAAATTACCGAAGATAAGCGCAATTAGTGTAAGCAACGTGGCCAGTTAATAGAACATTATTCAGGGAGGCAGAACAAACCAAATAAACTGGAATGAAATTTAGCCAGCTTAAAAAGACCTAGTTTAAGTGTAAGTTGGTTTAGCCCAACTGAAATATATATGTATGTATACATACACATATATTACTTGTATATAGTACTTGTGTATAGTAGTGCATGCCTTCACCGGAGGTGCAATCTTCAATATTGCCGCGAATCAGCATTGGTGCTGAAGTATTGGAAACCACCTCCCGCTTCTGCTACCTTGGGAGTGTGATGTCGACTGATCAGCAGCTACACGTTGAGATGCGTAATCGCGTGTCGAAGGCGGCAGCGGCATTCGGGAAGCTTGAGTACCGAGTGTGGAACAACCATCAGCTTAGCATTGGCACAAAGCTGATGGTGTACAAATCTATGGTACTGTCCGTTCTTCTATACGGCAGTGAAACGTGGACGATGTACCGTCGGGATGTGCGATATCTCGAACGGTTCCATCAGCAGTGTCTACGACGAATTTTGCGGATCGGTTGGGGCGCCAGATTTGCAGACACGGAAGTGTTGCGCCGAAGTTTGATGTATGCAATGGACGGCAAACTTTTACTGCGACACCTAAGATGGCTCGGGCATGTGAGCCGTGTGGATTCGGCGCGGATACCGAAACAACTTTTATACGGTCAGCTGAGTATAGGGAAGCGGCATGCTGGGAAACCAAAGTTACGTTACCAGGACATGATTAAAGTGAGCCTCACACGTTCTAATCTTGATTGCAGACAATGGGAATCGGAGGCGGTTGATCGGCGTGCATGGTGCGATCTCATCACGAAGGGAGTTGCTGAAGTGCGGGAGAAATCCCTCATGCATGCAGAGAAGAAGCGGCAAGTGCGGAAGCGGCAAGCACCAATAAATTGTACTCCATCGACATCGAGCGCATGATGCTGTAGAACATGCGGTCGCGAGTGCCTTAGTCAGGCAGGCCTATTGAGCCATGAGAGAGGTCACTCGGGACCACTGCCGAAGCGACGACGTGTCCCGCAGTAAACGTAGGCAGCACCGGCGCAACGTTTGTAGGCACGCTGAATTCGATTTACTAACCGCATGCTTGCATGCTAAGTCTCTTTATTTAAGGTGGTGGGTTTTCGATTCTGTCCTAATGCCTTTTTTCTCATATAAATGTCTAGTGGGCCTTGAGCTAGGCCCTTTGGGGCCACTACAGAAGCGACGACGGGTCCTGCAGAGAATTGCGGCGAGCCGGCGCAGCGTATGTAGGCACGCTGAATTCGATTTACTAACCGCGTGCTTGCATGTTACGTCCTTTTATTTCAGGTGGTGGGTTTACAGTTTTTACCTTAATGCTTTTCTTTCTCATATAAATATCTCCCTGTACTCTATTCCATTAACTTGCACACATCGCCAAGCCAATTGTATTCGATTTCCATAACCTTTTTGTGTTCGTGGCATTCCGTGAACTATACTTCCTGACCTCGTGCACTTAGCTAGGATTTGTTTGTAAACAACTTAGTACATATGCTATTTAATTAAGGTTTATATCACCGTTTCCTTATGCATTAATCGAGTTTTTCTCTTTTTCTTTCTCTCTCTCTCAAGTGTTTGGCTGTTGTTTGATATCCCCGGTGTGACTGTGCTTGATGTGCATGTTGACAAGATGCCTACCTGTCTATTACCCACTACCTCGTCCATACTGGCTCCAGGAGACAGTTGGTCGTTGCTGGAGGGGACAGGGTGCACGGTCCTTGTGGCCGTGTTAGGATCAAAGAGTGGTTCCATGCACTCAGTGTGGAGCGGACTACGGTCCAGCCACCTCCTTGTGTGCGCTTGATTCCCAAATACAGTGTGCTTGTGTTTGCCTGTGAAGGAGTGTGGGCCGGCTCCGTTGAAGAAACGTGGTTCCCATCCGCATGCCTCCCGGTCTTATTCCTTCGGGTTTACACTGGATATGGGGTATGTGGTTGGAGCTGTGGGTGGTGCAACGCAAGCCATCCATGGTCCCTCTGTAGGCGCAGGCGTCCTGTGGCTTGCCACAGTGACAGGCGAATCCGAAACCGGATGCCGCCAACCATATTACTTGTCTCCATAGTGACGTGCGTTACGATGATCTGATTTTTAGGTTATGGCGTGCATGTTTTGATACAGCTGAGACCACACCGAGCGTAAGAGCACTAGCTTTGTCTTCGCCGTGGTATGTGGTAAAGTCATTATCTCAGGCTACCGACTCCATATACAACTATGGAGAACACGCATCTAACCGTCTATATGCGAGGTATTCGCGCTTATCGTGTAAACTACCGGAGATATCAGATAGTGAGGTGGAACGGAGCCGCCGTAAAAGTGCTCTTGTTATCATCCTTGGATTTAATCCTCTAGGCAATTTATAAGCGTAGCAAGACGTATCCTCCGGTTTAATTAGGCAAATTTACCGCAATACCAATCATAAATGATAAATATGGCCTCAGTGGACCTACTCAAGTCAGTTCGCCTGGTTAGGCAGACACCAAAAATCGCAAAAGCAACGGGAAGTAAGGCTCAGAGAATTTTGGGCGGACCGCTACATCTGCAAATATATTTGCGGCGTAGGAAAGCAAGTTTGTGTAATTGAATAATTTTCACCTGTTTTTCCACAAAAGTATGGAGCAAAAGGATGGACTTTGTTAATGGTATACACTGCTCAAATTCTTCCCATTTTAGGCCATTTTCGACTGCGGCCGCATGAGCTTGGAGCAAATTGTTCATATTATTGCGTAGTGCCGCCAGATGGAGGATGTGGAAGTCAAGTAGTTTGACTGTGATGCGACCTGAACTAAGAAAAAAGTATAAAGAGGAAAGATTAAGAAACGATAAACCATTTTTAAAAGCTGGGTAAACGCGGATGAGGTCAAACAATTTAAACGGCACAGCGCCAAGTTCTATCGGTAAAGCAGCGACAAAAGACCTACCTCAATCCACAGCCAGTCGCTTCAAACAACAGTATAAGACAATCCAATCCAGTCAAATATAGGGATTCTGAACGGGACATGGTTTGGTAGATTAGAGAGATGAGCCCAGAACACTCGAGAGCGCCAGATCCGAGGGAAAGAGATGAGATCCACGTAGAACAGCAAGTCATTACTTGGATCAATACATCTTCGTCTGATTGAGATGCCATAAGCTTCTGGTACGAATAAACCCAACGAAACAGAACGGTTAAGCAAGTACGTCTAAATCGTAGAGCAAAAAGAAAAGAACAAAAACGACGCAAAGGGCTTTACTAAAAATGCAGCTACCATCGGCACTTCAATCATTAGTTGTCCATAAGGAATTGTGAAAACGAAGCGTTTAAGCTGTTAAATTTTCACTGAAAAACTTAACAGTACACGAAGTTTCGAGTAGATGTCAAACGAAAGGACGACTGCTGGTGAAACCAGCCAAAACCTTTACAAATTTTGAAGCTGCCCAGGAAACTAATAGTCAAAAACGTGGACTATTCGAAGTGATGGAATTAGGCATAGAGTGGAAACTTGTGCGAAACAGATAGCCGATGCCACATGGATGTCACATGCTTCTGACTGTAAAAATCAAAGCGAATAAGCTGCAACGAGAGAAAGCAACAGTAACTGGAATAGGTGGGAATGCGGCTGCCCGGGTAATGTGTGAGTAAAGGGACCCCGAAGACATTCACAGCTACGTGTAAAAACAGCAGATACGCAAAACCAAACGGTGTCTGCGAACGCGACCTCGCTGTCGCGGAATAGTGGTCTCAGTGTAAAACTACAAATGTGGTCGAATAATCGTAAATACATGCTAAGGCGGAAGCGAATGATGTCCTAGAAACAGCAATGGATCAAAACAGCCTACAGAATAAAATCTCGGCTCGAATGACGAGAACGAAGATATCACCGGCAATCTGACGGTGAGAAAACCCAACTCTTCACTAGTTTGTTACCATTGGTCTAAAGTTAAACAGCCCTTGACTGGTAATGAACAGAACACCCGAAAACCACACGTGACTCATGGTGTTCACATGCACACCATCTGAAGTGACTGATCCCAAGACTATTAAGACAGCGTGCAGAGGCTCAGGTAGACCTACCAGACACTCTTTAGCTACACTCCCAATGGAGCGGCACACAGTGAGAGCAGCCTGTCACCGTTCGCATTCGCTGAACCAATGCCATGCGCACCGATAACATCTGTCCACACCGATGCATCACGCCCCACGCGCGCGTTGAAATCACCAAACAGAAATAGTCGGTCGCTCCTCGGCACAGACCGTAACACGGAGGAGAACTAAGTGTAGAATTGATCACGCGTGTCAACAGGATAACACATGGTCGGACCGTACGTGCTTATAAAAGTGGTAAGCTTACCTCTTCCGACTCGTAGGCGAACAGTCATCAGACGAGCGCTGATGCCTGTCCCTTCACCCACCAGCTGGTCATTTACGCGATCGCATATTGCAAATCAGACATCACGTTCATGTGGTGCTGTGGTGGCGTTGCCCACCCAGTAGAACGTGTAGCCAGCATCTGTTCCATGCAACTTACCTTGCTCAGCTAGCCGAGTCCCACTGAGCACCGCAATATCGATGTTGCACCGCGTCAATTGCATCGCGAGCAATGCAGTGCCTCGCTCGGGGTGCTCAGTCGAGTTCTGGTACAGTACTGTACACACGTTTTGGCACCCGACGCTGCGTGCTTTACGCACAGGCAAACCATTGCACTGGTGAGCAATCGCACGCAAGGTGGTCGTTGTGCTTCGGAGTCTTTGGCTCAATAGCCTTACGCACGAGGCAGTGGGTGGTTTGGAGTTTTGCTTGAGGGACTACGCCCAGCGCCTTTAGCAGATCCAGCTCGGGAATGTGATTGCAGAGACAGATTGGGATCTGCTTGAGGTCCGTCACACACAGCCTTTGAGGTACTAGAAAGATTCATATATGTTTTGCGACCGTAGTAGGATACGCACCTGCGACCATGGCCAGACGCAGGAGGGTTATGACGGGATTGCACCAATTGATCAGGCGCTGCCTGGCTTGAGTCGGGCAGTAGCAAACTACTGAGCACCCGGAGGTGCCCTCCCACGGTCAGAGACAATGCGTTACACTCGTGCCTTACTCCAACCGAGCTGTGAGTTTATAACCCGTAGACCTGTTGTCTCCCATGACTAGGTTTTACTGGCAGAGGGCCATCGACCACTTCCTAACCTCCGAAGATGATGGACTAGGATACTGGCAGGGCGCCCACACCTGACAGGAGAACGACTCGGGTCCTCAGCCAAAGCCTTCGATTAAATGTCCACCCGAAAGGCAGTGGTTTTAGCAAATGGGCAGTTCACTGACTCATGCGGATTGATGTCCTGGATCTTAGCAGGGAGAAGGGCGTAACCCAATTCCCACCCAGCGGTCGCCACGAGTAGGCGTCCAGGACATGAGCCCATGGCAGTGGGTAGAACATCTGTCAGGATCTAGCTACCACCAGCCTCTGCGCACCATAGGCTTTCCTGCAGAACAAGATATATATATATATATATATATATATATATATATATATATATATATATATATATATATATATATATATATATATCTATAAGAGCGCCTGACTTACTGTGGGGCGTTATGAATTTGGGTAATAGCTGTGATGTTCAAGTTACCTTGCTATGTTTGGGTTGTAGTTTGACCTGAGTTCGACACAGGTCGCGACGTACACCGTACTCCACTGGCTGCTTAACGGAACAGCGTGAGACTTGTTTTCTTAAACAGAAAATGTGACGGTTATTTCGAAAAGCTCTAGAGGTAGTATAAAATGCAGATATCTGTCCAGTTGGAGGACAGATAGACATTGTAAACGTCTCGCTATTGCGATAGACCAGTGGGAGAGGTTCATGATCGTTGTTGCGTGCAAACAAGAGCTACAGTGAGCCGACGTTATTTTTCTAGCTGAATGGACTGTAGAATACCGTTATACCCCTGTCCTTGAAAAGAGTTTAGTAAATATTTTATATGGAAGCGCTCGATTACGATAAGGAACTACACTTAAATCAATGTTGGGGAAGAGTCTGTTGGTCAAGTGCGCCGAGCAATACGATAGAATAATGATTTTGGAACCAGAGACTGTGTGTTCATACGTATAAATAAGTCGTTAAGCAACAAAAGATTAAGTAGATTGTGTCGAGCTAATGATAGGTTTTAGAGACCACAGAAGGATGTGAGCCAATAAGGGACACAAAAATGAAACCGTTCGTAGCTAATTAGGAAAACTAGTGACGGAGAGAAAATTGGATGGCAGTAAGCTGAAACACGTGTGAACAAACCTACGACTGAAGTAAATCAGAATTCTTGAGACTCTTCTAGCATATATAACTTAGAAGTTAAATTAGTATGCGAGTATTTGCAACGCAACATTTTACCAAACAGAACGGTCGCAAAATAGCGCACTATTGCATAGAGGTTTCGATTATGTTGTAAACTCGAGGTTAATGTATTCAAGGCGTGGGCAGTTGCAAGGCAGTTTGGAAAGCGTATGGTGAGAATGACGCTCATTGACGCGCACAATCGGATCGAGAAATATGAAAGATATCTTAAGGAACACCGAACTACACGACCAGAAACAGCCGGCCAAAAAATAAGAGAACAGCTAGACCTAGTGATTGATCGCAAAGCAGCAACTGCAAAAAGCGAAAAAACAGGCCGCCATTCGAGAAAAGTTGTCCAAATTGCCCAATTTGAAGTGCGCAGATGTCAAGGATGGTTGGGTCAGGAATCTGTCCAACCGGCCACTCGGTGACGTCGAATGACAGGTCCTCATCAAGGGACTCAACTACAACTTCACGGATGCTGGAACCATGGAGTTCCTTGCAGTATTCGAAAATACCTTACAGTCCAATAGACTTAGCGAAGAGACCAAAACACAAATAAGGCATGTCGTGATTCCGATTCTAGCACGCAACAATCAACACAACTCTTTTTCACAACAAGAGAAGAGTGCCCTAAAATCCTCGAAGGCCGACGAAACCATCGTAATCCTGCCTGCAGGCAAAGGATGTACGACTATCATAATGGGCAAAACTGATTATATTGCAAAGTTAAATCATCTCCTGGTCGACACAACAACCTATCGACGCATGGAGAAGAATACAACAGCATGGCTGGCAAATAAAGTGAATAAGACACTTAAGAGACTTCAAGAATTAAATCAACTCACAAAGGGAGAGTATGATTGAAGGCTCGTGATCCAAACATCGCAGTTTTACGGGTTCTCGAAAGTACACAAAGAGGGTGCGCCGCTACGAACAATAGTATCACTCCCAGGTACACCAACTTATAACTTGGCTAAAGAATTATGGAAAGGCCTCAAACACCTGACCAGCGGATCACAATACTCGATCAATAATGTTTATCAGTTTGTGGAAAAGCTCAAGTGCATGTGGATAGACCATGAATAAGTGATGGTATGGTTTGACGTCACCGCACTTTTCCCCTCTATCAACTTACAGAGAGCGAAAGAAAATATCAGAGAACGTCTGAACAGTAGAGGAGAAACGACAGGGAATCTAACAAGTGAAAGCATTGTAAGCTCCTCGACCTGTCTCTTACTACCTACTTCAAATTCAGCGGAGTGTTTTACGAACAACTTAAAGGTGCTCCAATGGGATCCCCCATATCTGGACTTATTGCAGAGGTTGAAAGAGAATATACACCCAGTCATTAGTCCGGAATTGCGGGTGCGATACGTTGACGATACGTTTGATTCTCAAACGCAGCCAGCTACAGACCGCACAAGACTTACTTAATAATGCAATGGATGGTATTTGTTTCACCATGAAAGAAGAGGTGAAAAACCAACTACCCTTTGTGGACGTGCTGGTTACCAAAACAGTGGAAGACGAATTACAAACATCCGTTTACACACACCGACCAAACCCCGAACTTCAACAGCAATCACCCTAAGTGTCGCAAAATAAGCTGTATACGGACCCTGTTTCGTAAGATAAAATCGCATTGCAATACTGCGGAGGCGAAACGATAGGAAAAGGAACATCTGTTTATTCAGCTAATTCATCATCGTCACTCCCAATCAGCAGGGTTAGGCTAGTCTGTCCGTATAGCTTCTAAGTTCTATGTGGTACATAGGCGCTATGCGGAAAGTCCTAGCTCGTGAGGCTAGCCATTGTCCTCTGCACAGTTCGTAACTGGCATGGCAGTGGAAGATGAGCCGGGCTATATCATAGTCAACTGTCAATCACGCAAGTCCGCGGTTGTCACCCATGGCGAAGTGGCACTAACTGTTGGCATCCTGAATTCATGGGGGGCGGAACCCAGCACGGGTCCGCTGGGAGGCGCACCACTGACAAGACCCAGAAGGTCGAAACGCCGGCATCTGGTACTTTTCCAGACTGGCCTAAGCCTGCTGATTGGGAGCGACGATGATGAATTAGCTGAATTATACCAAAATCCTCACTACGACTCATCAGTACATCGTTTTATGTCTTTCATTCGTAACGGCTACCCACGCAGTTTCATCAGAAGACACCTAAACCGAAGGACTACAACTACCGCACCTGCACCAACGACGGGGAAACGTATCGCCTTGCCGTACATCGAAAAGGTAGCGGAAAAGACAGCCAGACTCCTCAAGCCGCTCACATACCAAGTGCGACTTTGAAGGGAATATTATCTAAACCTAAAGGAAAACTGGAGGTATACGAACGCCAAAATGTCGACTACAGGATACAGTGCGAGAACTGTGGGAAAGACTATGTGGGTCAAACAAAGAGAAAACTATCCACAGTAATACAAGAGCACAAGCGTGCATGTCGATACCATTATGCATCGTCACAGATCTCAGCGCATCGCGAGGAGGAAGGACACAAGGTTAACTGGGACAACACAGAAATTCTGGCGCACGAAGGGACAGAGAAGGAAGAGAATTCCTAGAGGCATGGTTCTCTACGGAGAATTCAGTGATGCTCCGCACTGACATCGATTCTGTGTACCTAGGGCTGCGGAAACGTGAAACTGGGCGACCGAAAATCGAACAAACAGAGATCACGGGACACAGATCGACGGGGTCAATTTCAAACGCTACGTCTCGAGGACACTTTCAGTGAGATTTTCCTCTACGCAGCAGTGCACTGAAGATGCCACTGAGGGAAGTGGTGGAAGGTTTGCCAATAAATTACTCAGCTCGGAGAACGAATCAAAAGTTTAACGTAGTAACCAATAAAATGCACTGCCACTATCACCGTGGCGAATAGCAAACAAAAACAAACTGGCCAACATACCTGAAACAGGTCGAATACTAGGGACTCGCTATTCAGAATGAGCTGCTTGACCTTTCCATTCATGTGGAAGGGCAGGTTTGTGGAGACAAATTCCTCGAGTAGGATAGTTAAAAAAGAGAGAATGTATGAATAGCTGCCTGTCTTGTCTGTTAGAAACAAAAGAAACAAAATGTGAATAGTTTTCAAGTGCAAAAAACTGCAATACAAAGATGGCAAAGGGAACACGCAATTATAATAGGGCTTCATGAAGGTGTAATGGGAATCATTCCGAAGCGTTCGTTAAGTGAATTACGACACGCAGTCCGACCCTACCCTCTTCAGTTCGTATTCCGTGGGGTCGATTTATTTCATTGCGAAACTCGTGACAGTTTTCCTATGATTATGCGAACTCGGAGTTAGGGGACGGCTACTGATGCATCTAAATTATCGATGCACAAAAACTAATTTAAAGCGTATAGTTGACAATGTCTCCGAGCCAATGTCGAAGGAGGTGAACGTCACAAGACTTAACAGTCGCAACTGCGGGAAATAACTTCATCCCAGTGTGATAGATCCACATTCCGTTGGACGCATTCAAATAAAATTTTCGCCAACGGTCGTCCTCAGGCGTCCAGTGTACGATTACGTAATTCGGACCAATCACTCGGTAACACATGTGAGGAACCTAGCTGCTGTCTAGAGGATGGTGTAACTGCCGATTAGATGATGTGCACAAAACGAGACGGATGTAGCACCCAGGACCGCACCCCAACAAGAAAGGGAATAAGACAGGAGTTTCACCGAGCGCCATTACTGGCTCTGCAGAAAGCGAGTAAACCTCAAAGAAAATCTAATTATTTCAAAGCGAAAACGTGTTGAGTTAACGGCGTACAACCGAAAAATGTAGTGGTTTCAGGTAAGTTCGCCTTCACACGACGTGCGCACCTACCTTCCGATTGGCTAGCGGAAGTGATCTACCAATCAAGATAGCTGACCCAGCTGTTCTGTAAACTGAACATTCCTGGGCTGAAGTAAACATATCCGTTGATTTCACACTACTTGTCTCGGTATCGGTAGCTGCTTCCACAACATGGTTTTGGCCTCCAAGCATTGACTTCTGATTTTAGCTGGGATTCAAAGCTAGCAGAGGACGAGTTCAACCGGAATCGCACACCAAGAAACAGATCTAACGGACAACCCCTGAGTTATGGCACAAATTATCCACTGCGCCGGGGGTGAGCTTCCGTGGGGTGAGTTTTTCACTAAACCCCGCTGCGTTTTGGTGGGAAGCCGCGTTGTCACAATGCGAGTGCCACGCGGCGTAACCCGCTGAATGTGCAAGCGAGTACTGAAGTCCGTGCCGCCAGTGAGCATCTTGGCGGAATTACTTGCTGCTACCATAACACCAAGCTCAAATTGCCATATATATATATATATATATATATATATATATATATATATATATATATATATATATATATATATATATATATATATATAGTCGATTCCGGTTAATCGGACCACATCGGGACCAGACCATTTTGGTCCTATTAAGCGGCTGGTCCGATTAACCGAAGTTACCCGATGTAACAAGATGGGGCGTGCTTTACGTAACATAGGAAACTACTACTATGACCTGTATTGACGGCATATATTTATAGCAAACACACAAAAAAGAACTGCTTTGATAACGAACTTTGTTCACTGAAAAAAATCTACAAACAAATTCTTCGTAACGACCTACAAGATATTCAGCATGCGAATTACAGTTTTATACAAAGGGATTACCGAATTCCATTCAGCGTTTGAAGACCGTATCCAGTGTGGTTTGACGCATTCTTTTAACAGACTGCATTCGCACAAAATCACCACAAACATGTAACGCAGTAATAGGACTACCTTCATTTCCTTCCTGCATGAAATAGCGGTGCAAAGTTTCAATGCATTTCTTTGCATCCTGTTTTGTGACTGGCATCAACACGTTAGGGTTCTCTTCATCACTTCCATGGTCTTCTGTTGCTGTCGCGTGTTTCGCTGCTATTCAAGCAACAATGGCAGCATCGCATTGTTCATTTCCATCATAGAGTTGAAGTTCGTTGTCGATTGACAAAAATTCTTCGTAATTTTCAACTCGTTTCAGCTCCACATTCTCGCCGTCATTTTCATTTACTATCACTATATCCACTTCCATCTCCGAGACAATATGCTTAAAGCCACAGTGAGAAAAACAGTTCAGAATTGTTGCACTGCTCATTTTTCGCCAACTTTCGGCCACGAATGTAACGGCTTGCAAAATGTTGACCTTTGCATTGATTTCTCCGGCCGTCGAGGATGAGGTCAGCAAGCCTTCCTCAATTGATTCAAGGATGTAATTCACCAACCTTGAACGATAAAAGGTCTTCAACTTTTTTCTGATGCCCAGGTCCATTGCCTGTATCAAAGATGTGGTCTTGGGAGGCAGAAATTCCATCTGGATATTCTTCAAGAAATCCAAATTTGAATGTGCTGCACTATTGTCGAGAAGTAATAACACTTTTCTCGACTGCCGTTGTAGCTCTCTGTCCCAATCCTTCACCCATTCTTTAAAAAGTGTAGAGTTCATCCATGCATTTCTGTTCGCACGATACACAACTGGTAAACTGTCCATTCTGAGTCCCTTAAAGCAGCGAGGCTTGGCACATTTTCCTATAACCAGCAACTTCCTCTTGTCTGTTCCGGACATGTTTGAGCAGCACAAGACAGTTACGCGATCCATTGCTTTTTTGCAGCCAGAGAGAGTAACATGTTTGCAACTTAAGGAGCCGTCCGGTGTAGCCCTATAGTACAACCCGGTTTCATCAGCATTATAGATGTCATCTGCTGGAAATTTTTCAAGAAGCTCTGGTAGTTTTATTGATTTCCATTCTTCAGCTCGAGCGCTATTGGCACTTTCTTTCTCACCATGTGCTTTCTTAAATTTTACATCATGTCTAGATTTCCATCGAGACAACCAGCCGTCCGTAGCTATAAAATCATCGTGGCCCAGCATTTTAGCGAGTTCTTCTGCTTTGTACTTTAACATTGGGCCACTTACTCGCACGGCTCGTCCAGCAACAAAGGCAAACCAATCATTAAGGGCCTCATCGACGTCTGGATCCTTGCCTTCACGCTTCCGTTTTTGGGAAGTACCTCGTCGTCCTTCACATTTTGCCCATTCTTCTCGCTGCTCTTTCTCTTGTTTTATCAGACGCGATATTGTAGATTTTGTCAAGCAGGTACTTTCCACCAATCGACGCTGACTAGTGGTTGGTCCCTGTTCCTTGATCTGATCTAGGAAACGAATCTTCTCAGCTAACGTCAAGTCCCGTCATGGCATTTTCTTAACATGCAACAAGACACGCACAGTTCACTGAGGTGAACTCGAGTCTGTCTCCCAGGTATTTCTATGGTTGACCTAGCCACCTGCTGTCCTATGATATGCCGGACCTGTGTGTCCGCGATCACTTGCCGTGCTCGAGAGTAGGCCCGCAATGCGGGCTCAGGGCATTCAATGAACAATAAACAATGAATTTATACGGGTTAAGAAGCGTTGCTTTACAAGTCCCGTTGGATAGTTGCAGGGGATATCAACATAACAATAATGATGATAAGGATAGTAAAATAGTTAATACTTTAAATATGAAAATAAGGACTTATCGTTTGCTTCGCTGCAGTCCTGGGATCCTCCTAGATTCACAGCATCCACAGTTAACAACAAATAATTCCATGGTAAACTCCAGGTGTAGGATGGAGACGTATTGTTAAGTAACAAAGTGTAAGTGGATGAGTGCATCGTCCAACCGTCTTTTAAATACTGTTAGTGTCGGTGCAGAGACGACCGATTCTGGGAGAGCATTCCACGGGTGACAGACACGGATGGAAAAGAAATTTCTGCGGCACTCCAGACGACTGTATTGTTCTGCGAGTTTTAATGAGTGGCCCCTCAGGTTTGTATTGCTGCTGAGTTGCAGTAAAGGGCGGCACACATGATGTGGGTCTCGCAGAATCAAGTATGCCATAATCAGGTCGCCTCGTAGTCTGCGATAGCTTCCACTGAACAATCCCAGTCGTTGCAGCCTCTCCTGGTAGGAAAGATTGCGCATTCCAATTACGTTCTTAGATGCCCGGCGTTGTGGCTGCTCCAGTGCATTAAGGTCGTGTTTCAGCCATGGATGCCAGGCTTGAATTGCATATTCGACATGGGGGCGAACATACGCACTGGGCATTTGTCGAAATATGGAGCTGTTTATTTGTCCAAACGCCCGCCTCAACAGCCCCACGTGTTGGTTCCCGGTCTTCGAGGCCTTTTCCGATTGCCTGGAGCAACCCAAGTCATCTTGAACCAGGACACCCAAGTCACGTTCGAGAGTTGATTGTTGCAGTACATCCGTTCCGAGTCGGTATGAGTAGCTGCTCTGATGTCGGATGGAAAGCACCTTGCATTTACTGACGATGAAATGCAATACGTTTTGGGTCGACCATTGATACACCGTATCTAAATCACTCTGAAGCACATGTTGGTCGGTGATCGCCTGGATCCTGCGCCAGATCTTGATATCGTCGGCAAACATTAGGAAGTTTGAAGCGATTCCCTGTGCAAGGTCATTAATAAACACCAAAAACAAACGTGGACCTAGAACCGAGCCTTGCGGCACACCACACTCAACTTGTATGGGGTCCGATAAAGAGCTCCGAACTCTGACCACTAATTGCCGTTGAAATAGAAAGTTGGCGATCCAGCTTAAAAGAGGGTCTCCGATCCCGTAATGTTGCAGCTTGGATAGTAGTATCCGATGGTCTAGACGATCGAAAGCCTTGGAAAAATCCAGGTAGATCACATCAACACCTTCTCCAGCGTCGGCTGCCTCGGTCCAGCTACTGCGTGCAATTAGTAAATTAGTTGTACATGACCGCTGTCGACGGAAACCGTGCTGTTCAGGGGTGATGAGGTTGCAGTTTTCCAGATAGCACACCAGTGCATCGGCAAATATGGATTCCATGACCTTGGAGAGTATAGGAAGAAGGGTTACTGGGCGGTAATTGGAGGGATCAGTTCTACTTCCACCTTTGTGAATCGGGCTCAATGGACGTGCGGTACATCGATCGAGCGGTTAACGACATGTGAACAAGCATGTATGTCTTCGCTCCG